TTTAACGGCTGTCTTTCAAGGACTTCATTTATAGGGGCTGCTTAGAACGTCGAGTATCCCATAGCCTCGGTGGCGCAGTTGGCAGCGCGTAAGTCTCATAATCTTAAGGTCGTGAGTTCGAGCCTCACCCGGGGCATGTAACTTTTTTTTTTTACTTTTTTTATTTTTATTTTAACTTACCTTGGCCTCCGCTAAACAAATGTCATTCTGCAGTCGCACAATTAGCTCACTCATCTCTTTGTTAATGGTAAGCAACTCTTGTTTCTTGACTTTCAGTTGCTCCAGGTCCAATTCGTTGTCTTGGGCCAAAGCCTCCAGTTGCTGGATTCGCTTTTGTTCCTCCAGAAGCTTTTCTTCATTGCTGGAAAATATAAAAAAAATTGATTATTATGGGAACAGTTGGCAGAATTTATAATTAAGCTGTTATTTTTACTTACATGGTGTTTTGAGTTCGTAGGAGCTGGAGTTCTTCTAGTTGTCCCCTTAATTTCGCCGAGTTAAGAAGCTCATCGCTGTAGGAAGCTTCTACGGAATTGTGCAGCTCTCTTAGGCGATTAAATTCCTCTGTAAGCTGGTTGTGCTGTAAAGTGGAACCAGAAAACATTTATAAAATACCCATAAACATATAACTCTTAGCTGTACTTCTATAGTAATCTCCTGCAGTTGATGCTGCAGTTCTTTGTTCGCTTCGCTTAGTTTCAGCTGCTCTTTGGTGACTTTATCCAGAGCCTCAGTCTTGCTGGTAATCTCGTGTTTCAAGAGTATTGTGTTGGCTTCGAATTCCACTTTAAGCTTTTCTGTAAATGGAGAAAGGTGACAAATGGTTGAATTTAATCAGTGGGATAACTAACTCACCATTGGCTTTTTCTTCCAGCTTATTGGGCGCATTCTTTTCCTCTTCCAATTTACGTTCTACAACCTGAAATGGAAATAGAGTTGAATTAATGAGAAGAAACTATATTACTCCGTATAGCTTTACTTACCGCCTTGGCCTCCGTTTCGATGTTGAGTTTGTTTATGTGATACTTGAGCCTGGACTCCAAATGACCCATTTCTGTTTTGTACTTTTCGCACTCCCGCTGATACTTTCTGACTTCGTTGCACTGATAAGAACGAGATAAAATGGTGAGATAAGGGGTTATATATCTAAAGTCGATGGTCTATAAAGGTAAGTTAAGTTATAGAATAATAATAGTAATTAGTAGAATAAGACACAACGAAAAATTTATGTTAGTTATTAATAATGCATAAGAACGTAAGTAAAATTATTTTAATAAATTAAAAATAATAATAATTTTATAATATGAACTCAATGTGATAATTATAAGTGTGCACTTGTAGCGCTAGGATATTAAATAAATTAAAATTAAACTTTTACCGCATCCCATCCACCCACCTTCTCATCGATGATGTATGTCATGCGTGACTTCTCCTCGCTGACAGCCAGGAATCGGGTGGACACATTCTTGACCTCCTTCTTGGCCTCGGCCAGTTGCTTCTCCACCGCCTCCTTCTCCTTCTTGGCGTCGATGAGCAGCTTCTCCTTCATGGCAAACTTAATGACGGTGGCCTCCTTCTCCCTGTTGGCGGTGTCCATTTCCTTGCGACAAGCCTGCTTCTCCTTGCCCAGGATGGCGTTCTCGCGCTGGATGAGAGTGATCATGTTGTCCTTTTGGTTGTTGGCTGTGCGTAGTTGCTCCAACTGCTGTTCGTAGTTACGCCGCTGCTCCTCCAATTGGGCCAGGCAATGGACATGGGACAGGATGTCATTTTGCGGGGGTTTCTCCTCCTCCTCCTTTTCCTGGGCCTGCAGATCCTTGAACCGCAGGCTCAGTCCTTCCTCCTCAATTGGCACCTGCTCGAGCACGGCTGTCCTGAGATCCTGCTCTAGCTTCGCCTCATCCTGGCCTGCTGATTGGCCTCCAGGAGTCTCACTTTTCTCATCGCTTTCTTCCAGCTGCTGTTCAATAAAATCCGCTTTCGGTTCCACGTCTACACTTGTTTTCTCCACGAAATGGTTCGAATCCCCGCCTGAATCTCCATTTTCCATGCTGGCCGGACTCTCCACCTCAGCCGGCTGTTTGGCCTCAGCTGGTTCCATTATTGGCTGGGGTTATTTTATCATTTATTTAGATTTTACAAAAGAAATTCGCTATACAACAAAAGTTTGATATTTGCAAAGCAGCTGTTAATTTGGATAAGTTGGCAGTCCTGTTAGCGCAATGTGACCGCACTTGGCAGCTGCTCTTGCTGTTAAGCCAAAACGGTCACTCTAGGATTTGTTTACATTTTCAATCGTGTTAATTTTTTAATTACTTTAATTATGGTTTGCGCTTTGGGCATTGAAGGCAGTGCCAATAAAATTGGCGTAGGCATAATTCGGGATGGCGAGGTGCTGGCCAATGTGCGCAGAACCTATATAACCCCGCCAGGAGAAGGTATTTTCGGTTTCCAAATTACCGGCTTTTAAAGAGATTTTATGAACTCAATCAATTCAACAGGTTTCCTGCCCAAGGAGACGGCCAAGCATCACCGGGAAGCCATCCTGGGCCTGGTGAAGGCCAGCTTGAAGGAGGCGCAGCTGGAACCCAAGGATCTGGATGTCATTTGCTACACAAAGGGACCCGGAATGGCTCCTCCCCTGCTCGTTGGAGCCATTGTTGCGCGCACGTTGTCCCTTCTGTGGGAAATTCCCCTGCTGGGCGTGAATCACTGCATCGGGCACATCGAAATGGGTCGCCTCATCACCGGTGCCCAGAATCCCATTGTTCTCTATGTCAGCGGCGGCAATACCCAGGTGATTGCCTACTCCAATCAGCGATATCGCATCTTTGGCGAAACCATAGACATTGCCGTGGGCAATTGTCTGGATCGATTTGCCCGCATCATCAAGCTGTCCAACGATCCCAGTCCGGGCTACAACATAGAGCAGCTGGCGAAGCAGAGCAATCGTTATATCAAACTGCCCTATGTGGTCAAGGGCATGGACGTGAGCTTCTCGGGCATTTTGTCCTACATCGAGGATCTGGCCGAGCCGGGCAAAAGGCAGAATAAGCGAAAGAAGCCGCAGGAAGCGGAGATTATCGACTATAGCCAAGCGGATCTGTGCTACTCGCTGCAGGAGACCATCTTCGCCATGCTGGTGGAGATCACAGAGCGCGCCATGGCCCACTGTGGCTCCAATGAGGTGGGTTTAAAGCTCTTTCTTATTTAATATCCCTAGCTAACCTACTTCCCTTCCAGGTCCTCATAGTTGGCGGCGTGGGCTGTAATGAGCGGCTCCAGGAGATGATGGGTATTATGTGCGAGGAGCGTGGCGGCAAACTCTTTGCCATCGATGAACGTTACTGTATTGATAATGGTCTAATGATTGCCCACGCCGGGGCAGAGATGTTCCGCTCTGGCAGCAGAATGCCCCTGGAGGAGGCCTTTGTGACGCAGCGTTTCCGCACGGACGAAGTGCTGGTCAGCTGGCGGGAGGACTAATTACAAAAGAACTAATCAGTGTGCTTCGTTTGTTTATTAAATAACTAATTTCCATAATTTGTTCAGATTTGCAGAATGTGTTTAGGAGATTAGGATAGGTATTATACCCTCTTAAAGGGCCTGCTCCTTGCCCGTCCACTGGGGCTTCATTTCCAGGGGAAAAACGCGCTTGCCCTCGATGACATAGACAGCTCCGTTCTTGTCCTTCTCCAGGACATTCAGAATGCAGCGAGAGACATCAGCGGCACTCTGCTTGTTCAACCTATCCAGGATCCTGTAGGTCTCGTCGCTGGTCTCCGGAAAGATGATCTTCTCCGTGAAGTTGGTGAACATGTCCGTCATCGTGGCTCCTGGGCAGACAGTCACAAACTTGATGCCCGAGCGCAGATAGTACTTTTCGTTCTAAAGGATAAAAAAAACCAAGTAAGGAAAAGAATTCGAGAGGCAACTAAGAAGATCTGGTTACCGCCAAGCAGCGGGTGAAGTTGATGATGCCCGCCTTGGTGGCTCCGTAAACGGGAATGATGAACATCGGATCCAGACCCACCACCGAGCTCATGTTGACCACAATGCCACCCTTGCCGCCATTATCCTTGCCCATGTAGGGCAGGGCGCTCAGCGTGGAGTTGATGATGCCGCCGAGATTCACCAGCAGAGTCCTCTGCACATCCTTGTCATTGAAGATGCCAGCCACATTGACCACAATATCGATGTTGCCGAAGGTCTTGGCAATCTCCTCGTAGGTGGCCTCCACACCCTTCTTGTTGGCCACATCCATCTTGACGATCATCACGCTCTGCGTGGGATGGGCGGCTCGGAGTTTCACAAATTCCTCCAGGTTATCCTGCAGATCGATGATGGCTACCTTCTGGGGAACGAAGCTTAGAGGGATGACTTTTTAAGGGGCTAAGTGATTAACCCACCGCTGCTCCGGCGGCCAGGAGCTGCTTGGACACCTGCAGACCGATTCCTCCAGCTCCGCCGGTCACCACCGCATTCTTGCCGCGAAAGGACATCTTGGGCTGGCTGATATTTGTCGTAGTCGGGTGTATTCCTTGGGGCTTCATCAAGCTGAGAGCTCCTCCGTTGCACTGCTGACTTGGAATAGCACTGATCGTCGCTTTTATAGCGATTTTCCGAAGGGTTATATGATATATCTTTGAGTGACTTTGGTTCGGCTGCAATCAATAGCCAGTTTTCCACCTGCTCTGGGTTAGGATTATGCAAACTCATGCCGCCGTATCGATTTCCATCGTCATCTGGTCGCTCTAGCGTTCAGTCCGCTTCACACCGCTCTGGTTTTTGCGATGTCAGCTTTGCATCAGTGATAATGTCATTATAGAGATAAAGCAATGATCTCTTAATAACCATCTAATGAGATCTTCTCTACGTATAGAATAGAACCTACAGTTGCGAAAATAATGCACCACTTCGTCGGTTCTTATATTAAGAAATATGTGGAAACGGGGATTTTTTATAAGAAATGTTTTTATTATCTTGATTAGTATTCACCTATTTGAAAAATTGATATGGATATAAAATATTGTGTACATATAATTTTTTCAGATTTTAAGAAAAAAGTCAAAAAGGCCGAAAAATAATAGCACCACTTCCGTTTTCTTTAAATAAAACGTTACGATGCGCTAATATTCTTGTGTATAAAGGATATTTTTATGAGTTGAAAATCTCCTGATATCCGACATCAATTGATTACCATTTGGCATACAGGACTGTGGAAATTTTCCAGTCGGAAGAAAATATTAAAGAAACATATTGGTGGAAACGGTCATGAAACCGTTGGATTGGTTGGTTTTGGATCATATTCATTAAGAATGGCATACTTTGAAGGATAACACGAAAACTGTCCTGGCCGTTTTCCTTCAAAATGTTATATCACAGCACAAGAATCTTATCGGGCCAAAACTAAACTAAACAAGTGCTTAAATAATAGAGAATATTTTATAGTTGGATAATGTTTCATATACAAATTTATAAAACATGCACTTAAAAAAATCCTATCCGAAATGCGAAACACATTTAAGGGCATGGGCTCGTAAAAACTTAAATGAATGCCCGCAAACTTTGAGATGTGTGAAGGCAGTTAATTGGGTGAAGAAACCTTTTATAAGTCATGTGTCTTCTAACACCTAATTGACCAAAACATGGACCAAACATCCATTTATTGAGCATGGACCTGTATTAATAGGCTTGTTTTTCCTCTTGAGTAGATCAATACGGATGAATACATCGTCATGAATCATCCTATGATGTAAATAGTATACGGTGTATTCGTGCTTAACTGATCATATACTTCTTAAATGAATCTTTGACCAATAAATCCGCCAGGATCCGGTCGGATGAAGAGAGTTCGAAGTACTGTGTTCATTGACTTGTGTCCGTTGCCTAACACCCAATCTTTTTTTTAAAGACGTTTAACAGTTATCTACGTTTTAATCATTTCCGAATAATTTAAAAATATTGCTTTTGGGCCCCATCTTTATAGGTGGGTCTGACTTGTTTAATCGATGTGTCATTATATCAAAATCGCAATATATTTACTTTAACTTGATTTCTTGTTGCTACCGCCACTGATTGTTCCCTTGTTTTTTATTTTTTATTTTGAGTGGTGTATTTTTTTTGTAGTTTCTTGTGATTTTCTTAATGTCCCCTTTATGTATTTTTCATATTAATTATGTTTGTTTACTTTTAACCCGTTTTGAAAGTGTTAATGTGGGTACGTTGTTTTGTTGGTGTTTTTTTTTGTATATAAATCTATTCTATATTTCTCTTTTAAAAATAGGTAAAATTCTTACAATCTCATTCTTACATTTACTGATTTCAACCCAATAAAAATAACATATACCTTTAAATTTATTTATTCAAGCAAAATTCTTATGAGAACATAACATTTCTATGTATGTATGTCGTATATCTTTGGTTTCCATATATGATATTTAAATTTCTTTCACAAATTTCAATATTAAAAATTTTTTCTCATCTTAAGACTAGCAAACATGGATCGAACACCATGAAATGTGTATAAATTTGATTGGGACTTGCTTTTGAACTTTATTGGGCCGCTTCAGAGTTTTACGTATCGAAGGAGAAACAAAGAAAACCATAATAATAGAACTCAAAAAGCATAATCAAAATATATCAATTTATTTGTAAGCACTTAAATTATCACAAACTTAGATTATGTACACAAATATAAATTATTGCAGCTACCAAACAAAATGGGAGACATTAACTAAGGAAACACAAAAGTTAGAAAGACAGTTTTAGAGAGAGGGTGGGCGGATGTAAACGGTGGTTTCCCCATTTAGTGGGCGTTATCGTAGGTGTCCTTGTGCTGGTAGCCACTCACATAGCCGGATCCATCGACCACGTTCCGTCTGCCGGCGATGCCCTTGCCCTTTCCGGTGGCATCGAAGCGCTCCTTGTGCGAACCGGTATACTTACTGGTATCGGTCAATCGATCCACGGCAGCAGCTGCCTTTCCGGCCTAAAAATTTGAAAAGAAAACGATGAGTTAGTCCATCATATACACAGTGGAAAAAATAAATATGTTTAGGCTTAGTACTCGACCCAACAAAAAGTCGTCCAAAACAAAAACTTCACATGAAACAAAATTTTTTGACGTTGTTTTTCATATGAAGTTTTTTGTTTTGGACGACTTTTTGTTGGGTTGAGTACTAGCCCTAAATGATTAATTTGTCGAAATTAGGGAATAGATTAGATAGGCAAAGAATGTAAATAATATATTAGCTACACAAAAAAAAGCATGTTACCGTAAAATCGATATGACCATGTAAATTTTATGTCATGCAAAACCCATATCGTTTTTACATGACATATTCTTTTCGACCAGGTCAAATTTACTTGGCCACATATCAAATTAAAATTGAAACCTACGTTTCGTATCGTTTTTTTTTGGGTGTACATTTAAATTAAAAATTCATGGCGATACAATAAAAAATGTATCTAAAAATTGTTCTACTACAAAACATTTAAAAACTTGATATTATGAAAGGAGACATATTTGAATTGAAGTATATGACAAAGTGAAGAAACTCAATGAATCATCAGCCTTTCGGACTGACTATTTAATCCAATTTTTTCACTTTATGTATGTATTATAAACCCACCGAAACGGAAACCACTCCTGGAGCTCCACAGCCGGCCAACTTTTGCTTGATCTCCGTTAGCTCCACCTTTTTCGTCTTGGCCAGATCGTCGAGGAATTTGTTGTAGTCGCTGAGTGAGATCTTCATGGCCTTGAACTTCTTGAAATGGATGCCCGTATCCGTGGTGGTGATCTTCTTATCGATAACCTTGGCCTGCTTCATCCACTTGTCACTCTGCGAGAGCGTGATCAGCTTGCCATCGGACTTGGAGTCCCCGAACTTGGAGAAGGCCTTGAACTGGTCGGCGAAGCTAGCCTTGGGCTCATCCTCCAGAGCCAATTGGGCCAACTCGGCGGCCGGAACCTCGGGGGTTGGAGCTGGAGAGGGGCTTCCATTTGCTGCTGCTGCCTCGGACATGCTGGATCTGTAAAATATTTAAATATAAAAATATTTTTAAAACTTTAAAAATTTCCATCATTAATAGAAACTCATCCTTTTTCTTGGATGGATTAAGGGTCATTAAATGTTAATATTATGCATAGCCTGATAGGTCAGTTTTCCTTTTTTCCCTTTGTTGTGGTCTCTGCCATCACGCAATTTTTCATTGCCTGATTAATCGGATTGGTAAACCACCTATGCATTTTCTCACCTGTGCGCCACAACGCTAAGCAACATTGCGGTGGGTCTAGTCTGTCTTCGTCAACTAACGAGGTTCTATCCCCGTTCGTATCTTTACAGAAAGCTTATCTGTATTCCGTGCAGTTCCCTATCGCAATGATATCACAGTTTATACTGGACAATAACAAAGCTATAGCCGCCCAAAGCTCTCTCAGATGATTTTTGAGAGGTGGAAAACCAAAGGCAAAATTGGGAGAGATCCATTATTGAAATGGCGTCATCTGTTTGGTTCCCCGTCCCCTAACAAAGCTAATTATCGTCTTTTTGCACAGTCCAAATAAACAAAAATAACTAGCCAACAGGTTTGACTCACCTAAGTTTCTCTATGGGGGTCAGAACTTAGCGGTAGCTCGCGAGATCTATTATGATTAGTGTTTAACATACAGTTAACATAGATTTTGATTTCGAAGGGGGACATTGCCTAAGGCTTAACTTTAATCACGACTTTTAAAAATAGTGTGTTGAAAAATTAACAAGATCTCGAATCCACAAATAAAAAATAAAAAATCTTTTTTTCCTTATTTTAAAGTATTCCAAAATTTAAGATACTCTAGGGAATTATTTACCACACTTCCAAAAATGTAATTTTATTTATTTATTTTAAGTTTTTCTACCCCTGCCCCAAGAAATACCTCACTTAATTTGTTGCCCATCGAACGTGGCATAAATTAGGATGATAATTTAGTTTTAAAATTGCTTGTAGCATAAATTGTCGTCGTGTTTACAGGCTACCCAACACGAAAATAGTCGAAAAGGTATATGGCGGAGCAACCGAATCCTCATCCTTCCATAAACAGTAAATAAAACGTGAGCATTTATTGGCGGGGCCATTAATTACGCACCACTTAAGGCTGCAAGTTGGAGCCCCAGGAGAGATGGAAGCTGTTTGGGGAACCATTTAAGGCGGCGATAAGATGGGACTGCAACCAGTTCGGGTCCTCCAACCGTGAGATATGATGCTGTGGCTTGTGCCGGGACAGATGTTAACAAATCGAAATGGTGGGGGGTTAGGTGTATGCACCATGACCTTGATGCAGCCCCGTCGAGCATGTCAAATGCTATACACACACATATATGTACCACCCCCAAGCCGCCATTCGCAACCCAAATCGAAAAATGTGTAAAACGAGTCACTGCTTATGTCATCGCCTCATTACGCCGGCTCTTGATTACGCTGCTTTGGGATCAGCTTTAAATAGCTTTTGGGGTGAGGCAATTTCATAGCCCATATTCCCCAGATAATCCACCGAAATCATCTATTTAATCCGACTGGTTAATTGAGAGCATTGGATGCATCGT